CAAAAAGTCTTAACTACCATTTTTGAACCAATCTCAACACAAGCACTGATATATATAGATGACATACTCCTCTTTTCTCCTGATCTAGATAGTCATGTTCTCTTGTTAGAAAAGTTCTACTCCTATGCTGTAAATATGATATTATGCTTTCTGAAAAAAAAATGTGTCTTTGCTACTACCGAAATAGACTTCTTTGGAATACATTTTCACAATGGAATGTACAAAGTCCAGCCCCATATAGCCAAACACTTGCTAGAATTCCCTGATACTGTATCTTCTGTAAAGCAAATCCAGTAATTATTAGGAATCGTAAATTATATGGCCCCTTTTATTCCTAAACTCTCTCTGTTTTCTAGTCCTCTTTACCTTTTGTTAAAGAAAAAAGCACCGCCATGGACAAGAAAACAGACTGAGTGTGTTCTAGAGCTCAAAAGATTATCTCAAAATTTACCTTCTTTAAAAATCCCCTCTACAGGAAAAAGAATTTTGCAAACAGATGCTTCAGATGAATTTTGGGCATATATTTTACTTGAAGAAAAAGAAAGAGACAGAATGATTTGAGGACACAATATAGATGAGCATAAGAAATCAACAGGTAAGGAACAGATAAGGAATAGGATAACATTGATAAAATATTAAGGAAACAGTTGAACATAATTAATGACATACAAATATGCACACCGAGGGTCTATTACTATAAGGATCAAGCTTACAAATACAAGCATAAGAAGAAAGCATAAGTAGAAAGCATAAGAAAGAAGCACACCAACAAAAAGAAATTAGGCTGAGAGGCTCTAAGCAGCGCTCTGGCTTTACAACTGACTTAAAGGGCCTTATATAGGCATCGAACTTGAAATCCGAATTCCAAAAGATAATAAAGTAAGACAGGTAGCCAGGACAGGTGGCCATTATGAACAATAAAAAGTGATTGTAAGTAGACGGGTGGCCGACATGAACAGTGAACAATGGACAGGTGGCTTCTTATCTTGAACAGTGATGTCCACAGTGATGTCGAACAGTGTTGCCGACAGAATAGTATCAAACAATGTTTTTCAATCAGTGTCATAATTGAGGGGATAACCATCAGAATCGTAGCTTGGTGAAGAAGGATTGGACGGGCTGTGTGAGGGTCCAATGTATGTTTCATCACTGGAGCTATCAATGGTTTCTATAAGGTTGCAACCTTAAACAATCCAATTAAGGCGCACCACCAAATTTTATCATAACATGTAATTTTGGTGTAAAAATTCTTAGGATTATATGAAAATCTATTTTCGTCTCCAATTATAAAATTTTTAACTTCAAAAATGGTTAAAATCAAGTAGATCTATAAACATATGAAATCTTGAAAATGGATGGTTTAGATAATATGTTGCAAGATGCACTATTTATGAGTTTTTTTTTCATATTCATACATATCGATGTTGAGATGATCCAACATTAAAACAACTTTGCCGATGGATTTTTGAGGTGCATCTTTAATTCTACATTTTCAGGTTGCAACCTTATATAAATTTTTCCTATCTTATACTGCACATGTTGGACTTTAACAAAGTAAAAAGTTAAAGAGGCCAGGTATTGAACCCTAGAGGTCTCACCCCATAAAGACTTAAAAAGGCACAACTACCATCTTAGGTCACTTATAGTGTTGTTTTCAATTTTGGGAATTATTATATATAAGATATTTATAGAGTAATACCTCGTACAATTGTGTCAAGGAAGTATTGGGGTTTTTACCCCGCCTACTAGACACCTAGACATGTACTAAACACAAACACTCGATATAATACGGGGGATCCAAAAAAAAAACTCAGCCTACATAGTTAACATGTAGAAATAGGCATAAACATTTCTTTCCCCATATATCATGACTGACTATGAGTGTAAAAATCTCTACATGTAAGGGTGGCACTAGCTACCTACATTACATAGGACATGGATACAAATATTTGTATCTGACTCCAATTTGAAGACTCCAACATCTGACTCATCTACCCATAGTTTGCCAAGTACGGTACTAACACGACACATCTCCTGCAACGCATATGTATCTACATATATTTATACATAAAACTAATTTTTGACTTTTTTATAATAGTAGTAATTTAAAATAAAAGAATGTTATGCATAAAACTAATTTTTGGCCTTCTGATAATAACGATATCTTAAAATAAATAAAAAATGTTGGTCTAAATCAATGACTAATGTCCAAATCATTTGACACATATGCCCAAGTCTCTTACAAAATAGACATGTGCGTCTTACTCTAAAACACACGACTAACCAAAACAGAGGGCAGGTCTTGTTTGTCCAATCTGTGGACTTGCATGTCAGTCAACATAATAGCCATGCCATGTCTACAAATCCATAAAACTGAATCTCCGGAGACGAATGTCGACACTTCTTTACCCATGTCTTCCATGTCTGCACAGGTGTCTATGCTTTGGCATGTGGATGGTCCTAAATGCACGCAACACTAATGTCATTACCCAACTACCTATTAATAAGTGTGTTCCATCCCCAATTTGCTTTGCAGGCAAGAGACTTCACCATGACAACATGGAAGCACAACCCATAAATTACTCGCTCTTCCAGTCATCTCTCATCCCATATAGTGAGCTTTCCATCATGTACCACCTTCAATCAATGGATCCATCACTTGTTTACTCTCTGTCATGCACATTAGCATCACATATAAGTGTATCATGATTCATAACTGTTCCTATTAGTCCTAAATCTGGAAACCTCTTTCATAACTGGTCAGATCATCTCTACCCATGTAACCAAGTCAATTATATCAAACCTCATCTACCCTCTCCCTTGCACTTGTAAATCTTTTTGTACCCTCTCAAATCTGTCTCCCCAACATGGATCCTAGATAGCACCCAGCAGTATATGGAAATGTGTGCACAAAAAGTGCAATATGCATGAATGTATATGCATGAATGCTATACATGGATCCTAGATATCTCCCCATATGTTACTTTAGCATATGGGTCTCAAAGTTCCTTCTTGAACTCGTCGGAAGGTCAGACTCTTTTGGAAGCTTTGCAAATTCAGAGGTTCACGGAGAGAGAGGAATGACAACTCTGGAGAGTTAATATCCTCTTCTGATTTGTCGTCGTCTAGTAACTTTGGTGTATCTCCAAAGGTACCAATGGCTTGTCAGTAATGATCGGTGATGGCAGCATCAACATATTCTAAAATAAAAAATTTGCCTTTCTGAGAGCTCTTAATGCATACCCATAATCCCACAAAGTCGTTCCCATGATAAATTACCAAATTAAGATGACAGAGTCAAATAAAGATTCAGCATGTGTGATATTTCCCAAAGTTAGGAGTCAGAATGTAAGACAAATTACCAAATTAAGATGACTGAGAGTCAAATAAAGATTCAGCATGTGTGATATTCCCAAAGTTTGGAGTCAGAATGTAAGTTGCAAAAAATACGTATAGACTAGATCCCCACATACCAATCAAAAATAAAAAAAGAAAAGCAAAAATAGAACATGAAGCAAACAAATCCTCAAGGCAATAGGAACAAACATGCATCAACACACAATGGCTGGATTTTGGATATTTCACAGAAAAGTAAAAGAAGACTAAGGAGAAGAAGGAAAAGAGGAAGGCCTCTACTAAAACCAACAAGATTAGCTTTAGGCGCGCTTTATCATATAAAGAATTCCAGAGGCCTCTCTTTAATGCTGAACCCAGAAAAAAAAACAAGAATGAGAAGCTAGTCAAAGCCATAACCCTAAGAAGTATGTTAACAAGTGAATATAATGGAATCTACTTGTTTATCATCATTTTACGCATAAAATACAAAAATTCTTGTATCAAGCCATCCGCAATCACCACAAGAAAATGCTGTCAAAACATCACTGATGACAAAAGATTACCCCAAGAGAAGTCAAGGCACAGAGATAAAACTAACATTCGTCAACATCAACAGAACCTTTGCTTGTCGCCCATCTAGCCAAATATGGCCTTGAGTCCACAACATGAAATCACCGTTGGTCCCAATCCTTCAACTTTTTGCTCCCTTTAGGTTTGGCAATAGGCATGTTCATGGCAGCCATTTTGGCATTGTATTTTGCTCGGAGAGTATCATTATATGTCCATCTACAGATACAACAAGAACTAACCAATATGAATAAATACAAAGAAAGAACCCTTTGTCAATAGAATCAACACCAGTAACTTGCTCTAGAAAGATAAACACCAATAAAATCTATTCCACTCTTATAACTTGAGTACTCACAACCGAAGTCTATCCTAGAACAATAAGCATTAGAGCTAATCGAATTTTCACCACTGAAGGATAAATATGTTACATGAATAAAAAATTGACAGAGTAATAATATCCAATGGACTGGGGAAAAGACAGTCTATCAGGATCATCACCATGCGATGAAATGATGGGCAAATGGTGGGAGATCCACTGGACCCCAGTGATATCCCCCACTCCTCCACCATAATGGTAAATCAATCCATGGCCCGGTGATGACCCCAACGAATTTTAGTTTTCCATAGTCCATTTAATCATGAAATAATCGTACCAAACAAATATCAAAGAAGTTTGCATTTCAAAAAGGGGACAGCTTTCCATGTGACCCCACCCACATATAAATTATATCTAACTCCAATTCTCAGCAGTTCGATCTGAATAGGTGGCTAGGATTGCTCATGCCACAATGTCACACCAAAACCTCTGTTTGATTTTTTATTTTTTCTTTTACAAAATATTTGAGTGAAATTTGGGGTGTCCCATCTTCTTATTGAGGCGCACCAAGTAAAAATAGAAAAAAGATATATTTCTCATGAAATAAATGACGAAAATGCCCCCAGTAGTTTTGGGGGTATTCTGGTAATTTTTCATCAAGGGAAATTTTATTTTATTTTTCTCATGTCTGCCCTGCCAGATGTATGCATGCCCCAAATTTCACTGCAAAATGATTTATACAGTGAAGATTAAAAATGAAACACTCTGAGCCGTCGGATCAAGATCTGACACTCGAGAACCATCTTGAGATATTGTGACTCAAGCCATCCCAACCATCTACTCGAATTTGACGGCTGAGAGCAGAGGTCACATATACTTTATATGTGGGTGGGGTCACATGTAAAGCTTTCCCTTTCAAAAAAACAAGCAAATCAACTCCTCTTTTCAAGAATGTAAATAACTATACCAATATCAACAAACGTAACATTCCAAAAAACACGAAATCAACTTATTAAGAAATCAAAGAATTATAATGTCTAAGCCAAACTTACGGGTTGTTCCAATCAGTCGTATCCTCTGCAACAAGATGCTTCCACTTAGTCCTCCCGCTACGCCCAAAATGTTTCACTTGCATAACCTTTGGCAATATGGTTTTGTCCATCTTGTCCTCACCAGTGGGGGCTGAGAAATCACGGCTATAAATATCATTAGCCCCTGCTGTACCAGAGTTATCATCTGGGTCAGTTTGGTAGAAAGCACCTTTGTGATAATACTTTTGCATAAATCTCCATTTTTGTTTTGGTGGGGCTAGAGGTTTTGGGTTCTTCCTCTCCCACTCTCTTCTCTCTTCCTCAGTCATATTCCTAACCTTCTCTATCTCCTCTTTCTCCTTCAGCATAGCCTCTCTTGCTTCTCTATCCCTCTTTATCCTCGAAATCTCTCTAGCCTTCCAAGCTTCGTATTCTTCAGCTTCATTCATCTCATCATCTGTGTCCACGTCCCCAGTATTGGCCTCCATTTCTGCATTTTTTTGGATTTCTTCATCCTTCCTAATCTCTTCGACCACTATTTGCTTGGTTTGAATCTTTCTCTCATCTAATCTCCTTCTCATTTTCTCTTCGAAAGCACGCTCCTCCGCTTCAATCCTTTCACGCTCAGCTATCGTATCACGCTCAGATTTGGGGATAAAAACAGGTTTCACCATTGCAATACCAGCTTGCTCCTCTTCTGAATCAGTCTCATATTCAGATTCTTCCTCTTCCTCTTCTTCTTCCTCCTCCTCTTCTTCTGGTTGAACAATAGCCTCTTCTCTTTCCAATAACTTCTCTCTAATCCTTCTCCTTCTCTCCTCCAAAGCCTCCTCATCTTCTTCCTCTAAGTCCAACCCTTCTTGGGCTTTCTTCTCTTCCTCTCGTGTCGAGACAATCTCAGCTTGACGAATCAGCCTATGAGTTGCAATGGCTTCTTCTCTATCTTTGCGACTCTCTGCTAACCTACGAAGCCTAGCATCATCTTTGTTCTGAAGTTCGATATCTTCTCTTGGAAAAGCCTTCTCCAAGGCAATGGCTTTAGATGTTTTTATGTCAGTTTCTTCATCTGCATCATCTGCCCATTCTGGAGCTTTACCAGGCCAATACCTCTTCACCTTTGTTTGCCCTATCTTACCTCTAAGTTTATCCCTAATGGCTATAACGGTATCACTAACTCCTGCTGTAACGGACATGGCTGATTTCTTTGCCCTTCCTGGTGTTATTTAGATATCAAAGCAGAGAGATGCAAGATTTAAGGACAGCGATTTTGAGTTTCCCCAAATTCTTCAATAGTTCAGACCCAGAACACACTCAGAGACATTGATGTGCTCTCCCTGTTTTCAATTTACTCAACTCTTCAATAATTCAAACAAATTTCAGCTTCAAAGCCCTATTTTATCTTGAACCAAAAACCCTAATCTCCTCAAAAATTTCTCTAATACTCTCAGTCAACTTAACTCATCCAAATTTTCTCCATGCATGTATTTGATACTGGATCCTTTGTCTATGAAAATCGGAAAACCACAGCCCTAATTCATCAAAAAAAAAAAAGTCCATAAAATATAGATTTTCCCATTCTCATTTTTATGTATATCTTGAAATTAAGGCATAACCCTAATTGTGCTGCCTATTAATGCGTGTCTTTCCCAACGTTGCAGAATCATACAAAACCACAGAACAAAACCCTAATCCGTAACTCTGTAATGGAAAAGCAAATCCAAGGAAAACAGAAAGAAATTCAATAAAAAGCCCTGCAAGAAAAATAGAGACAAGTTCTTTTAAAAATAAAACTTACAGGGAGCCGCTGCTACCAGAAAAATTGGGCGATAACAGAATAAAAAGCTTCGATTCTAGCCCTTGGACTTATATACCTAGAAGTTTTGAAATGACCTGGTACACAGGGACAGGCAGTGAGCCGCTAAAGGGGTAACCGCAGAAGTGTTGAGCCTAATTTAAACCAACCCACCCACCCGTAGTCACTGTGCTGGGGGATGAGACGGGAACAGCGAGCTCATTCGTTAATCATCCGGTTGTAGCTCGGTCACCGAGTTCACCCATTTCGGAGACTTTGCGTTTCGCCCGAAGAATCCCTCATCGTTTATGTAAAGACAGAAGTGAAAGTAACCTTACCTTAAATAGTTTTATCCAAACTTCAAGTAAATACGATTCTAACAGACAACGACAACTACGCCCAATTTTGGAGCGCTAATAGTAAACTCAAAACAGGCACATGTCTAAAATCTAAAAATAATAAAATAAAACATATTAAAAATCCCTGACATCAATCCTTAATAACAAGTATGATAAAAAAAATTTGATTAATGTAGTGATTTTTTTACATTATGTACCTAGGTCATGCTTTCTACATGTTTCTATACATCTATGAACCACCAACATATTTATCTTTTGGGTGCGGTTTATATAGAGCCTAGGCTCTAGACAATCAAATTAGAGCCTGCCTTCAAATAGTGTAAAGAAATATAGTTTCAATATTGGAAATCTTTATGATAGCCTTAAAGTATATTTTCATATTTATTTATAAAATTGAAAACTTCAAAAATAGTGTAGATTGACGGCTCAATAAAAACTTGAAAATTGATGGTCCAAAAATGTGTTATGAAATACACTATTTCTAAAACTTAAAATCCATTTTTTTTCTTTTCTCATATCCATACATCTCGATGTTGAGATGATCAAATTGAAGATATTTGGGCATCAAACAACCTCTTCTAGTCAAATTTTTGAGGTAGGCTCAAATTTGATAGTTTAGAGCCTCGGCTTTATATAAACTTTTCCCTTATCCATTTATTATGGGGACTTATGGCCTCGGGGTACGACATACAGGATGGCAGATTTGAATTCGCACAGCTGACCCAAATAGTTGATAAAGATGATGATGATGATGATAACTTATTTATCTTTTATATATTAAGTTAGAAAGGCCACTATTGCGACACCCTAGTTTGATGTATGATTTTCTAGTAGCCCCACATATTTAAAAGAAGGAAAATTGTCTCATGCAGGCTGGACCACATTTCTACATATGCAGTCCAGAAAGTGTAAAGCATCCATCTTAAAGATGGATGCAAGTGGGTGTTCCAGAAACTAAAGGTCCAAATGTTTTCTTACCAGAATTATCATTTTTAGTTTTAAAAATTTATTTATTTTTTCACATTCATGATCTCCATGTTAGAGATTACATATCCTCAAAATTTAAGTCTTAAAATCCATGTCAAAAATAGATTTATTAAGAGGCCTCCATTTCTACATATGCGGGCTTGACCGAACAGAAATTGGGTCCTTAAAGAATTATCGGTATTAGTTTTTCAAAAAAGCTGTCTCCTAACTCCTTGAACCCATTTAACTTTATTTTATGACATTTTAAAGTCCCAAACACATTTTAGAATAACATACTCTATTTCTCTCATATTTTTTTTTAAGATCTTCTTTTCCATCACCCTCTCTTTGCATTTACAAGGCAGGGTATGCATTAGTTACTAACTCACTAACATTATTATGCATTCCTTGAGGTCGCTGCTCGCCTTTCATGCCCTAAAACATGGCATCAAAGAGAGAGGGGGAAAATATGACCGTAAAAAGAGGGAGAAAGATAGCTTTGAAAATCGTTTGAGATATAAAAATATCATAAAATATAGTCAAATGAGTTTAAAGAGTTAGAAGATAGGTTTTTTAAAAAACAAATGCAGCTCATTTTACTAGGGAGATGGTGCAATAAATTTAGGTGTAGATAAATTTTTAATTTTTAATTTTTTAATTTTTTTATCTTCATGCTTTAAATATATTTCACTTTTGTCCTTCTATTTGTATATCCCTCCTACCTCTATTATCTTATCTTTTATCTTTATTTTATCTTTTTAAAATTAGATTCTATTCGGCCATTTTTCTTCATCTTTATCTTTTAAGAATTGGATGCAACTATTTTTAGATGTGCACATGAATCTCTCCCTCTACTCCTACAATATCTAAATTTAAATTTAATTTTGAATAAAGTGACATCGACATAACTCTATATTTTATCCTAAAAATAGGAATTGTTTTTTATCTTTGTCTAGAAAATAATCATATATTTATTACAATTTTACAACAATTAAAGTAAATAATTATATTCTAATTATATGTAATCATTATCATAATTAGATTATGATAATAATTAATGAGTAATGATTCTATAGGACCCTCTTGCACCTTTGTGTATAAGACCCTAAAAAAGCATCATTAAAGTTGGCACGAATCTCTAAAAAAATCAGTATGAGACTTGACTTTTCTATAGATTCGTGTCAAATATAATGGTGATCCTTTGGGAACCTACACACATAGATGGGGGAGGGTCTTATAAGATCATTTCTCATAATTAATATGCAAACTAATTTATTAAGTCTAGTCATTGTTATAATTCACACTTATTTGTGTAAAATTTTATATTTATTATAGTTTATAATCATCATCATAGCCTTTTTCCAACTATTTGGAATGGTTATACAAATTTGGTCCATTATTTTGCTTTATCAAAGACCATACTCTCAGGCCATAAATCCCCATTTTTTTTTTAACTACTTCTATCCATGTTTATTTCGGCCTACCCTATACTTTACTTCTTGCTCTTTTTTAACCTTCCACTTGAACCAACTCTACCTCTTAACAAGTGTTGTACTAGATATGTGATATTTTAGTTTTATAATAGTAATATTAAATAAATCATAATTATACATCATAATAATTATACTTAGAATATGATGATACTTAATACATCAAACAATTTTATTATAAATACGAACTATATAATAATAATTATTATAGTATAATTTATTTATATATATATATATATATATACACTATGAGACCCACCCGCAACAATGTGAGTAGGACCCCAAAGGATCTCCATTAAATTTTGAGACAAATCTCTAAAAAAGTTATCAATAAACCCATTCACCCAAGTCTCACACCCATGTGATAACTTTTCTTGCTATTTGTGTTAAAATTTAATGGTGATCTTTTGGAATTCTACTCACCCATTGGTGTAGGAGGGTCTCATAATGTCATTACTCATAAAATATATAAAAATATTATAAAAAATTAAACATAAAAGTTTTAGAAAATTTTTTTAATAGAGATTTCCTTTTTTGCTTCAGCCCAAAGCAGAACTGAATCTGACCAAATCAGATCTGAATCTGACCAAATCAGTCTGAAGTGGACCGAATCTGATTGAAATAGCAACACTAGGCTTCGTGTCGATCTAAGCCTAAAATCCGAAGGCTTCGGCCTCTTCGGCCTAAACGAAGTGAATTTGACAACACTGCACAATACACCTACGGATTCAAATATAAGGGCCCTTGAATCGCATCAATTTGCAGCTAAGAGCGCCTCTCACATAATAGGTAAATCTGTTGAATTGTTGTATCCCATCTTATGAGATACAATGGGTTATGTGGGTGATGATGAACTATTCGGTCTCTCTCTATGTGTATGCGGTCTCTCTATGTGTTAAAGTGGCTCAAGCTGTAAGCTCAAAACAACATAAATTTGGCAACAAAGTGTTGGAATATATCCTAGAAATTCAAGCACGATTCAGTTGTAAAAAAAATAAAAAATAGAAAAGAATAGAACAGAAAAGAAGAAGAAGAAAATTCACGCCCGTTAGTTGATTTACAATGTGAGAGGTGCTTTTATACAAAAAGCTAGAGGAAAGTATTGGGCAAGAGGAAGGTGGGATTGTGGGTCTAAAGTATTGGGCAAGAGGAAGGTGGGATTGGGCAAGGGATGTTTTTCACTTGCTTTCTTTACACACTAATAATTTATAAGTAGTTCAATCTTGATTTGGCAATTGAGATAGAGCAATATGGGACCAGCACAAACTCATTTTATTCTATTATACTTAAAATGCACCATTGTTGTCGACTCGCACATAATTTTCAGTCATTATTAGGGCATATGTGTATAGAAACATATAACAAACTCATCCAAGAAAATACGTTGATAGGCGATTAGAATGATTATTCACAATTAAGTTTTAATTATGCAAGAAACCAAGATAGAAGCGATAGAGAAAGCTTTAATCCAAGATATTAATGTTTTGGTCATGAACCTTTACTTCATCCCTCAACAAAGGATTATAGGTGACTGTAGGTAACTTGTGGTAAGAAATAAAAAATAGTTGGGATGAAGCTCATATAATAATGATAATTGTCAAGTTTCACCATAGTTTAAGCTCCGTTCACCATCTATTGTCCAAGCCACTGTTTTAAAACCCCCAATCTAGATTGGAATTGACAATCTGGACAAGATTCGGTGGATGGGCGATTGGGTCCGCAGCCCACCCCAAACCCCCTCTAATTTTATTTGTTTAACTGGTTTTTCATCGGCATGGCCAATCAGGATCAGTGCAGTAGTTGGGCAATCCAAAGCACGATTTAAGGTTTTTAAAACATTGATCCAAATAGATGATCGATGCCTTCCTGGTGAACAAATGACAAACAAATTAGGCACATTGTACCCATCCCTCGATATAATCCCTATCGAATTATTACCAATGGTTCGTAATTCATATGCTATACGATATAACGCACAAACAAAATGGAACATGCATTCTTAGTCCAAGCTCTCACCCAAACTGCATTTTCAACATAGTTTGGTGGCGCACCTGACTTCAACAGTATAAGGTTGACACCTTATACAAACCTCACCCTTTTTTTATAAATGTGAGGTTGGCACGGATGCATCCGTAGCTATAGAGATAAAGTGCACCTTCAAATTTTAACATGGCTTATAATTTTGATGTAAAATGTTCTTAAGATTATCTCAAAATCTATTTTTATATCTAATTATAAAATTTTAAATTTAAAAAATAGTTAAAATCAAATAAATATATAAACATGAAAATCTTGAAAATGGACGGTGTAGATAACATGTTGTAAAATGCACTATTACGAGACTTGAAATCTTTTTATTTTTCATGGTCATACATCTCAATGTCAAGATGATCAATCAAAGTGTGTTTCAACATTAAAACTATCTTTTCCTATAGATTTTTGAAGTGCATTTGTAGTTGTAGAGGCAAGGTTGCAACCTTATATAAACTTTTTCCTTCTTAGTCCAAGCACTCACATTAAATCGTAAAATGATGGGCTTTTCCATTCCCCAAAGCCCATCTTCGTTTTGTTTTTCCACAATGTCACAGCAATGCTTATGGGAGAGTATAGAATGCACCTTTGGGAGCACAAAGAAGCTCTCTCTCTCTAGTTGTCTTGGACAATAAATGGGAAACCATATTTGGTTATCTAAATAACCCATTCAACCATCCCATAATCAAAACCTTTTTAACAAAGTGAACTCATTCCTACTGGAAAAATCATAACTAAACAATAACCATAAAACTACAAGTACAAAAAAAAAAAAGAGGGAAAAGAAAATAAAAGAAAGTCCCTTGTTAAAAGGTACAAAAAGGACAAAAAAAAAAGGAAAAAAGCTCTTGAACAAAAGAAGAAAAGAAAGTCTCTTGTTAAAAGGTACAAAAAGCAAAAAAGCTGTTCTATAATCTCAAAACCAAAGAAGCATAAAACTACAAGTACGAGAAGAGAACATTCAATAACCCATCAAACAAACCCCTAAAAAACCAAAAGACAAGGCTAGCAGAAATATGGTTGAAATGCACCTTTTTAGTGTAGTTTTACTGATTCTCTATATACATCCCAAAGCAAAGCAAAATTGCTCAGGAAAGCATAACTAAACAATAGGCTACTTATCAAATTGGGAAGAACCAGTGAGCTTTTGAGAGCCTTATAAGCCAAGGTAAATCTCGCCCTTGGGTTGTTAACCAAAGGTGGCAATGAGGAATTTCTTGTAGATGCTCATAAACTTTGCCACAAATGCTGTATACAAAATCCAAGATCAGTCCCTAAAGAAACAGGAAGCATACATGTGCAAATGAATATGAGAGAGAGAGAGAGAGAAAAAGAGAGAGAGAGAGAGAGAGAGAGAGAGAGTGTGTGTGTGTGTGTGTGTGTGTGTGTGTGAGAGAGAGAGAGAGAGAGAGAGAGAGAGAGAGAGAGAGAGTAAGTAGAAGAACGTACGTACGTACTACTTACGTTAGTTAAGTAAGTAACGTAACTACTTACTAATAATATTAAG